ACGGGAGTAATAAGCTAGCAATTTATCGCTCTAAAACCCCCACCCTACCCTCAAAGGATTATAGTCAGCTTCTAAGATTACAATAAGTTCGATTCATTTCGGGTTAAGAATATAGTTATGATGTAGGAGGTAAAATTAAATTACTAGAAAGCTCAGTAGAAGTGTATTAGAGAAAATACTTTTGCTATAGTGTTTTATTATTTTGGGTATTTACTATAATTTGTTTGTATCATATGATTTAGAAAATATATAATATATATATTTTTAATAAATATAATTGATTATTCAACGAAGATACATGGCTAGAAAACTTAAATCAGAGGCCAGCCCAAAATATCATACAGATATTTAAAAATTACGTTAGGTTTAGAATTAATGTTAAAGTTAATAAATCTTCCTGTTAGTTCACCTTTTACCAGATCTAGCCTGGATATAATATTTTACATTACCATAAAATGGCTGCGTTGGAATCCTCACAAAACTAATTCCTATCCGTTTGGATTTATGCTGCTAGTTCCATCTAGATTACACATCGCTATAATTCAACCAACGGGTTTCTCCACCGAATGAAAATATAAGGAAATGAGCTACTTCTTGTAATCTTCACCTGATAAAATAAATTTATATGTAATTTTTTTATTATTATTTGTCTTTTTTGAAGAAGTCTGTTGTAAGAAACACCAATATAAATACGAGGATTGGTAGATTTAAATATTTTGTATGTATTATATTTCCTTCTAGTTTAAATTTAATGGATTATTATTTTTCAACAATAAAAGATTAATGATACAACATAGAATGTTTTGAAAAATTTAAGTTTATTTTCACAACAGAACATTTATATCAAGTGTGGTAGATAGTGTGGATAGGCTTCTGGTTCGAGTTCGGCTGAAATAAAAAAAATACGTTTTACTCATCCCCTGCTATGTAACCCTCTATAATCATTGAGATAGGAGAAAAACATGACGACTGAGTATGATGCACACCACATTTCACATTTTAACTGGTGGCCAAAAAAAGGTACTTGTTATAAAACTTGCTTATGCATATTTTTTCCTATATTCTTCTTTTGATATATTACCAGTGTGCACCAAAACTATTTGGTGATCGGGGTCGAGTTACTTTTGAGTCCACCTTCCAAAATAAATGTACGGCACTATATTATTTAAATGTTAAATAATACCCAGCGAAAAACCCAGACCTGTCCATACATGTGGTTTCCATGTTAATATAAATAGTGGAATGATGTGCCATCTATAATTGGATAAAGTTTAAAGTTGGATTAATAGATAATGCATACGAAAATGATAACAAAAAAGTAAAATTTTAATGAAATCAGCAGGTAACGTCCATGCCACTGAATAACAAAATAGACATTTTTAAAAGACTGTATGTGTTCAAGTAATAATCGCTAAATGAAGAGATAGCTTATAGATTTACTTTTATGCTTTCCAAACAGATTATCCAATATTTTATAACAGTAATATTAATTTCCTTAGTAAATCTTCAGCAATTAAAATAGTCCAGTGAGAGGAAAGAAATTTAAAGAATGCGACTCATTCCCTTCAAGGCAATATTTTTTAAAATAACATCACAGGATGTATTAGGCTGTTTATGAACATAAATACGCTATACCCATTAAAAATAAGCTACTTGAAATTCCGCGTGTTGCGGAGGTATGAAAATCGGTCGCAATGCTGAACAGAAAACTATTTTGTAAAAGTGAAACCATCTCGTCGAGTTGGTTCGAAATTGCGAGCGTTGTCTTTTCCTGCGTATTGTTCTTATTCTGAAACCGTGAATCGTCATGCGGAAGAATCTTGGACTAACGAGCTTCTTGGACAGGGAGAGAGCAGAAAAGGATTGCGGAGTAAAAAACGACAGGCCCGTAACATCGAAAACTGTAAATGATATGGTTAGTACACGAAAGGATGAAGTTTGTCATTTCTTATTTCAATGAATACCGGTTGTTAGAATAGAATAATTTTAAAAATAATTTTAGAGTTTAACTATTTTAAATCCTTGAGGAAGGAGATGATCCGAGATGGTGCTCATAAAAAGACTAAAATAATAAAAAAAAAAAATAGGGTTTTCCCGATGTTTTTTAGTTTCAACTGATACTCCATGCTGCATACCCTTAAGTTTATATTCATAGTTACATATATTATCCTCCTTATTAAATTCGATTTTCCCTATCTGCAATAATATATATCATGCTACTTACAATTAGTAATACTTCGTTTACTCTGTTTATTGTCCTTAATATTTCTGTGTATTTTCTTTTCACACTGTTTATAATTTTAATAAGTTTATGCACATTGCTTATAATTTTTATGTAAATATTATGTAACTTCCATACTTTTCTATATTTCGTCCATGCTCAAGAAGGCATGCAAAGTCGGGTCGAAACTTGGCTTGAAATAAAATATTTTTTTTTTCACTATTTTAGTCTTTTTATTCCCTTCTTCCTCAAAAATATACAACAAGTATTCAATATATATGTCGATTTAAAGTTTACTGTTTCATCATATTCAAATTAATCAATACAGAGTAAAGTATTTTTGACAAATATTTAGTTAAATTGCGAAATTACGCGAATGTAAACCGATTCAGTATAATGTGTAGGAAATAGGCAAAACTCCTAGTAACGGTATATTTATAACATGGATTTAGTATGTTGATAAGATTTGTTTTATTTAGTTTTCGAATTACGATAAAAGTCGGTTTAATATTTCCTAGGCTTTTTATTTGACCCCCTGGAATATATTGAACAAGTAGCACACATAGTTTGGAAAAATGTTCCAAGTTAGAACAAGGATTAAACTGGTGCATGATATATGGTTTATGCAAGATATTAATCTTAGGTTGATAAATAAAGGCTTGTTAGGATGAAAATAGAGTAGAATGCTCATGAGAATTACTAATAAATCTGGAGATATGACAAAACAGAACTAGTTTGTGGAGGTTGTTTTTCTTTTATTTGATATATAGTCATTCCCATTTATAGTTTTTAGAAACTTACAAGAATGGTCAGGCAAACGTACAGGTAATAGATATATAGGAAAAATTTAATATATCTGAATCTAAAAATTACAAAAAACTATGATGCGTCCATACATATGTCAGTACACGTAGAATTATGTTTTTTACCTTTCGATTAGACAAATTAGACGGTAGATGGTCTGAAAAACTTCTACACCGCTCCATTCTGATCTGTCAATTCCTTCTATGAAAGGATCTCAAAGAACTGATGTGTGCGGACGTGAGCAGATTGACAGGCCCAACACAATACCATTATGGTCCCAGATGCCCTTTATGGTTAGTGTCATTCCATCGTTAAGACTGATCCCGATAGTTCATGGAGAAAGCGTTTGGTCAACAATGAAACTGTTTATTGGTAGTTTCGCTAAAATATTTTTGAATAAATAGAATTTAAAGCATACAATGTTTCCAAAGAATTACTGATTTCAATAATATACTATCAATGAAAACGTCTTTTGAATATGAAGGGACCGAAAACAAAAATTTAGTCTCTCGCTCACGTACTAAATGAAACATAAAAACATGGGATAAGTCAATGGTGTAATAGTCCTCAAAAATAAACAATAAATATGATAAAATAAAAACGAGTTCAAATAAGCTTCAGTAATAATAATGTGTGTTATTTTTAATGTCCGTGAGTTTTCACTCTGGTAGGGAACATTTCAGCAGAATCGGTGAAAATTATACAAAATTATTTATAAATACTTTTATTTATTTTTTGTACGTAAAATAAGGATGAGTATATTAGGAAGATTTAAAATGTTAGTTCTCACTGGAAGCAGATTTTAATGCTCTACAACTTTAATTCTATGAGTTTTTTCTCTCAGAGAACTCATTTCCAAGCTACAAGGCCATTTGTAGTCATTTCTCTCAGTTTTTGACAAATTTGGTAAAAAAACCTGAGTTCGTCGACCGTGGTTTTCTACCGTACCACAAACCATTTTTTTTAGTTTAGACACTCATTCGAAACACAATTTAACGTTCTATAATTTCTTACATTAAGAGAATATTTCCATTATACGACACCGTATAGAAGTTATGGGTGAAAAAAACAATAAAAGACCAACAAATTTTTTTTTTTTTTTTGCTATAAAAAGTTTTCCGTTGGTTGCTCGCGTTAGCAATTTTGTTTTTTACACCTTTGAACTCATATACACAAGTAAAAAAATAATAAATTTTTCCACATTTTCCGCAATATATTTCCCGTTTCGATTCGCAAGTTACTGGCCTAATATTCTTTAAACCAGCCACCATTTTTTAAAACAGCGGCTCTGGAATGGTAGAAACGATTTATTTTACTTAGCATACTTACAAACAATTTCGTAATTTACAATCGCCTGCTACGAGGTCGATCTTTGGGTCCTGGATCCAGCGCTGTTTGGTACGACATACTTTATAGTTATTGTTAAATAAATAAATATTAAAAAAAATAATTATGTATAGTGTTAAGATTTTGTTCTATAATTATATACTTTATAATTATTTCTATCGTTTGTGTTTAGAATATGATTAGCAGGTACACTATTTTTAAAAGTTAATTGATAATAATAGCAAAAATATTTACATGTTTTTTTAACTTAGCCCTTACGTCATAATTTAACCCAATGTTGAATATGAATTTTCTTTTCACTTATTGATATGGATTATTCATATCTTAAATGAGTATATTTTCAAAATTAGATGCTTGTTCAATTAATTACTAAGGACAGATATTATACATCTCTTAAAATGCGACAAATTGAATAACATTATTATCATTAATTACATAGATGTATACACCAGAGGACAGATTAGTGTCTGGGACATTAAAAGACAATAAATCAAAGAAGAAGTCATCAGAGCCATGAGAAGGAACAGCAGCTGATGAATGGGACCATCAAACGACGTCGCCTCAATTCGCGAACGCTGCCGAGTAAAAAAAAAAGCCAGGTAAGTTCTACGGGTAGAGTCATGCTAATTTACCACCTAGGTACTCCAACCTGCAAGAGGTATTCTGGGACATGGGTTAACGGAATAGTTCCCCGAGGTCGTGACGCTCTTCTGGAAGATACCCTTTGATCAAGGACTAAAGATCCCAATCTTAGTCTTCCCTAAGCAAAACACCTGAAATCGGGTCATTAATTTGGCGAATAACGCCTGGAGAGCGTGAAGGAGTGAACTTACTTTCGAATGGGCAGGCGGTATCGTTAGTCCTGATGGGTTCTCTTGTGAAAGAAATCTATTTAATTTTACTATATCATATAAGAAGAAGCGCGAAGGGAAAGCATAAAAAAAAAAAAAAAAGTATTTCATACGTAACATGTTTATGTTAGAAAGCAAGCATGATGAAATTATATTTTATGAATCTTAAATTTAAGTTATTAAACCGAAACTAAAGAACCTAACAATCGTTTTGTAAATCATTCGCAATTCTTTATCAAACATTTCCACGATATTCTCTGCTGAAATATTCGCCATAAAACTTGTACTTGTTGATTTGTAACATTAAGCAGTAACCGTGAAAAATGTCTTAATAAGTTATCACTCTCTTTTGGCTCTCATTAGTATTTACAACAATCACACTTATTTCATCGAAAGTAATCGTTCCCGAGAGCCATGGTAAGTGATCTATACTACCAAATTTTATATATAGTGTAGATACACTTATGTACCACGGCTTTCCGTCCCTTTGCTGGATTTCAAGTTCTTCGTAAAAATTCGTAATAATTAAAAAATTTAAGGATTGAAAATTGGATCCGGGTGTACAAAGCAAATATACTAAAATCAGTTAGAGAGACGACAAATTTTTGGAATATTTTTTCTACCAAAGGAAAAGAAGTTACAATAACGAAGATGAGATTCGGACGTACAAAGCTTTCTCACAGCTAGCTAATGGAAGGAAAACTTCCACCAATATGTAACACTTGCCGGCAACATCTATCATACACTTGTTGTTAAAATATAAAAGGCAATGTATATATATATATATATATATATATATATATATATATATATATATATATATATATATATATATATATATATATAATGCCTTTGCCTTAGCAATGCCTTTCTGTCATTACATTTGTTATATTATTATATTATTGTTTTATTTATTTATTTTTATTTATCCAGATTATATTTTTTGTTTCTCTGTGTACCAATATGAGCATGTATGTATATATAGTTCTTTTTTTCCCTTTACACTACAAGTAATCCTGAGATTTTATTTTTATTTCTCTTAGTGTTTGCACATTATTATATAAATCACTGTAGATATTTTTACACTTTGTATTTATTTATTTTTATAATTAGTTAGCCAATTGTTTATAGATTGTGTAGTTATGTATATATAAATAATTTAATTTTTTTTACTTCAAAATGATAAATAATTTTGAGAAGATATTATGTTCATTTAATTTTGTTTCTGTTTATTTTTAGTGATCACATACTATTTTTTAAATAATGTATATAATATTAGAAATTTTATAAGTTAGTTTTTGGCCAGATTTGTATTTTCTTTTGTATTAATTCATCATTGTTATTCTAAGGGGACTTAGTCCCAGAATAAAGTTTAATTTTCTATTCTATTCTATTCTGTTCTATTCTATATGAGAAAAATAGTGATCAACAAACAAGATCTATGTGCGTTAATTTGAAAGGCAATAAAGACAAGAAATTTCAAGACCAAATTTTACAATACTTTTTCTTTATATTGGATAAGTCTATACAGCTAGCAAGATGCAATACTTAAATTGAAGGAATAGTTGGTCGGGAGTTTATAACATGGTTAATAATTATTACGCGTAATATTCAGTAGTTGACTGTAAATTAATATTACAGTATGTTATTGTTGACAGTATCTCCCGAACAATTATTCCTTCAATTAGAACTACGATCAGCCTTGTCCGTACCATCACGCATACAATGCTTAAAAGAAATTAAAATATTTTAGCAATAATAAATTATAATGAAATGCTGCCCTTCCATTCCATTAGCAATGTCACCAAAATGTGTAAAATATCAATTGTTTGAATTTTAAAATGAATCAATACTATAAGCATCATTGTGGAAAAATCAAATATATTTTGGAGCATAAAACGTGTTTCATAAAAAATCCTTTTTTATTGTTTTTCTCTTTATTATTTTTTACTTTCCTATATATACAATATTAAAATTTTTAGTTACTTTACAAGAGGAAAAATTTGGACGGAATTCGACTAAATTCATTTCCATTTAGTTCCATCTTTATAGCAATAAAGACCAGCAAAAAGATTTTTAACTGTGAAGATCTGCCTATTATTTAAAAAAAAAATAACGGAGGATCAGAAGCCTCGATTTTGGCTAAACAAATATTTTCATAATGCTTACTAGCTAAACACCTTTCGCTTATGGCTTCTTATGCCATTACATAGTTATAGTATAATTAATACCACTAAATAAATAATATTATTAAATCGTTTAATTAATTAAAATTGTTAAATCGTATGTAAAAATTGAGTTGATTTTTTTATAGAAGAGCATAAAAAACTATTACTTCTTTATGATCACATAAATTACTTCTTTATGATTTATAGTATAATTTTATTTCCGCTATTTTTCAATTAATCAGACTAATTGTAGCTATTGCAGAATACACAAGGTCATCATTAGTGCAAAAAGAATAAACACGTAAAATTGTTATATACGATATTTTGCATTAACAGTAACGATAAATTATTTATTATTATTGACAACAATAGATCAATATTCAAAAACTAAAATCCAAAGAACAGTCATATCAATGACAAAAGAAAGATTTCTTGTCGTTTTTTCGGGTTACGTTACGATACGGGCAATGATCTGAATCGTACAACAAGAATTGGCATTTCAGTTAAAAAATAAAATAAAAGATTATTCCTTACAATATTAATGTTATGTAAATAACCAACCAATTTTTCGACACAGTACCAGAACATTATAACTGACAAGTTATATTGAAGCTGTTATTAGAAGTGTCAAAATGTAGAAAAAAAAAAAAAAAGATGGTTATAAAGTAAACATAACCATTTCGTTATTTTTGCTTTATCTCAGCCCAACCCAATATTTTTCGACGTTTCTTGACTTTATTTGTCTCATATTGTTATATAGTTTTCTCATACTTCGTACATAAAAAAAAAACAGGTTTATAGACAATTTTTAGAGAAAATGATTACCACAGACGAAAATAAGAAATATTACTACAATAAGTAAAAAACTGAAATTGTATCTGTAATTGTTATAAATTGAAAGTCAACTATTAAATAAATGATAAATTAAACTGCAAACTGAACAAGCATTAATATAAGACAGACTAGAGGAAGGTAACATCGTACTAAAATTTATTTAAATAAATAACATAATAATCATTATTTTCTAGAGAATATACATAAAATTGTTCTTTTCACAATAGGGCATGTAAAAGAGAACAATAACGTTTCCAAATGTTAGCAAAATATAATTGTTTTATTTATTGACTGAATATCAAGATCCTTAGAGAAAAAATAATTGTTATTTAACGATCCATAATATCTATTTATCTATATGTACATATGTATATATCCATCTTATATGGAAATTGGAGAAAAATAAGATAGGTAATTATAAATGGAATAAAATAAAAATAACTAAATAAATATACAAACTCACTAGATCAACTGGCTGAATAGAAAGATTTCTCCTCGGGTGAACCTCAACAAGCAAAATCTCTGAACCGATTTCCAAAGATTCAGGAACCCTGACGAATCTTAAATACTCCCCAATAGGGTAGAACTGGCAACCTGAAATAAAATAAACAGATATTATAGAAAATAAAATAAAAAAATGTATATATTCTTTTTATAAAAATAATATCATGTCGTAAATAAAAGAATAGTTATTTTAATAAAGTTATAAAATTAAAATGTGCTCTGTTATAAAACATCACTGTGAGACATGAGTTTAAGATTTTAAAAATATTTATTAAATAAAGGACTTTCACTGCAATTAAATACAAGGTCGAATTTTTCGTATTATTTCGACAGTCACACAGCAACAACCTGTAAGTGTTATAATAAAATGATTTAAAAAAACAAATAAACCGCGTATTTCTTATATTAGATTATTCCTTCAATTTTTAAAGCTTGCTTAAGAAAAATATGTATTATTTGAAGTATCATATTTAGTTTGTATTTCTGAGTATGTGCTAGACCAAGATTAACAAGAAACCCTCAAAACCGCACTTTCTAATAAAACTATATTTATTAGCTTTTTCAGTGTGGATATTATGGAGGCATATAGAGAACAAATTATGAAACCCACTCTTTCTTTGTTCAAATATTGTTGCGTTTTAATAAAATATAAACATTTTTACTTGTTTTTTTTTTGTCAAAAATTTTATTTAATCTGTTTTAAAAGATTGAAATGAAAAATTTGCGTTATCAAAATTGTTGAGGGAAGCACATTTTTTAGGATTAATGATTTTTTGAGGATAACACATATTTACGGGGTTATGAATTTTGGAGGAAATCTATTTTTGTAATAGTCCGTGAAATAGACCCCAAATTATTACCATCCACCTGAAACTCCGTAAATGGCTTCATCTCATCCTAACCTACATCAGTTTTATTTACGAAAATTCTCGGAATTGGGGCGTTTTCAACCTGAAGATCAGCAATTTGTCTAATTAGGTACTAAAAACTCGTAAATACTAATTTGCTTTCCACGTCAATCGTTAGATAATTTGAGCTCAAAATCAAGAAAAAACGTGACTTTCAGAAACATTGAACCTTCACCCCCAAAATGACAAAATAGCGAGATTATATACTCCAAATGGCCCAATATTTTTGTAGGCTACCTTTTTTTCTCGATTTTGTGATTATCCTACGATGCGAGTGGAAAGCAAAGGGTACTTACGAGTTTTAGTACTTTTTTTTTATTTATTGAGTATTAATAGAGTCTGGCACACTGAAGGGCAGTTTTAGTACTAAATTAAATAGACAAAGTTTTCCAATCTCCAGATCGAAAACGCCTCAATTCAAAGAGTTTTCGTAAATAAAATAGTTGTAGGTTACGATGAAGTTGTAGAATACGAGATGACGCTATTCACGAAGTTTCACGCAGATGATAATAATTTGATAAACAGGGGTCTGTATCAAGGACTATAAGGTTTCAATTGAAGAAGCAAAAGAAAAACTTAATCACATTGTTTATAACTTTACTTTCATTTGTAAAGTTTTTAAGAGGAGAACAACATTTTTTTTTAAGTGGGACATACGCCATCTAGGGATGGGTACCTAAGTGCCTTGGAAAAAATCCTAATCTTTCTGTTCTTGTATACAATAATTAAAGCCGGGTATAAATGGCACCATGCCCATTTTTTCATTAAATAATTAAGCAACTAAGAAACAAATTTTAATAGCTCAAAGTTATAGAAAATTGGCAGTCTGAATAGTCTGATATAAATGTGATATAGTGTCCCTTTACCTTCGGAGTACAGATTTATTAACTAAGAAGCAAATTTTAACAGCTCAAAGTTATGAAACATTAGCTCCCCTGAACAAATCACAAAAGGGAAGTGGTGTTATTTACTTCCGGAGTACAGATTTATTTACGGTCTTACTTGCTATAGTATAGCATTAGACTAGATAAATAACGGCTAATTACGTAAAATTTACAACATATTTGCTACTTTCATTTACTCAAACACGCCTACAAATGTTTTGAAGCTACATAGATATTTATTGAATTTAAATTTTATAACAGTTCGGCAGTTGGCTTTCCCTATGTTACCAAGTTAATTTATTAATTATTATCTGTTTCAATATATTTAACGTAACAGTCACTTATTATATCAGTTTTTAAATAGTATTTTCAAATCATTTTTTAATTTTTCCAAACCAAATTATATCGAAGAGAAATTAAATCTTTTTTAACGTTGAATTTGAAATGGAATAGGCAGGATTTGGCTTGGAAAAGAGTTAATTTGCCTTGGAAAAAATCGAATATGATTTTAAAATGCTAGTTAAGGTAAATATTAAATATTAATAAGGTAAATATTAATTTGCTTTACAGCAAACTAGACAAAATTTACTTAAAATGAAAGTATAATTGTCGATTGCTAAAACCATTTAAAGAGACTTTTGAGCAAATAAACTGAGCCAGGTTCTGTTTAATCTACAGATAACCCACTTTTAAAAAACTCCGTTTTTAAATAACCTTCATGTTCAAATTCATTAAGTTGGGGTTTATTACAGTGTAGGTTAAGATTCACCTCAAGGCTAGAAAAAAAACATAGGCATTTTGATATCCTATCATCTGAAAGTACCCGTGTTTACAGTAAAAATGATTACAATAAATTTTTGGAAAGCTTTATTTATTTATTTTTTCATTATCTGGGATGTTTTATAAAAAACATTATTTCATGATAAACTTTTTATTTAGAAAATAAGTTAAATTAATGATTTTTCCAATATTTATCATCTAAAGTGATTATGAAATTAAGTTCTTTTGTTAGTATTCTATTACAAAAATTGATTCCTATTTAAAAGTGACTATCTAATCGTTTCTAGCCCTAATATTTACGTTTTAAATTAGGAAGCCAGCTGATTGCTTCAATTATTTTTATGAAAACGTAAATATCAGGATTGAGAACATTTAGTAAATCACTTATAAATACGAATCGATTTCCATGTTAGATATTTGGTTAAAAACACAGTTTCATTATCACTTTAGATAATGAATATTTAATAACATAGTTATTTTTATTATTTTTTTGTAAATAAAGTGCATACTTGAATGTAAAATAAAATATGTACTTAAACGAACCTAACCTATACTTTAAAGTACTCTTTAAATGGTTTTAGTAAGGACATTTTTCACTTTCTAAATTTTATTTGTTAGCTATAGTTTTGTTATGTATGCCTATGCAGTAATAGATCCAATTATAATATAGGGCGAAAATGATCCAGGTGCTGCAGAGCCCAAAACATTTATAAATAAACAAAATGACAAACTCTACTCTTATTAGAAGTAAATTTTATCTAGTTTACTGTAAAATCATTTTTAATTACTTAATTTTTTTAATGATATTTACAACTGTATTAAAGAAATACATTTAGTAAATTTGAGCATATGGATATAATGATATGAAAACACTAGTTGAGAAACTACCCAATGATAGCTGTCTAATGTATACATTAGGATATCACGGGGCCATCTTCTTTTCAGACGCCTCAGAGGGTTAGCAGGAATTGAAGAGGAAGCAAGGTTAGAAACGAGAGGGTTGGGATGATTTTGAAGTTTATTGTGGAAGGATAGGTATCTGGATGGGGCCAGATATGAAACATCAAGGTCATAATGGATGGTTTTCTTGGTTTTTTGATGGTTTTTATTGGTTTTTCACGCATTTTGTTTTTCTCAGAAGAAAGAATTAGAGGACCAATAATGAAGTTGGCTTACGAAAACTGATAAATAAATATCACATGATAGGAAGAGGTATCGAGGATAAGATAGGCTGAACATGTTTAGAACAATCCATTGGAAAACTGAAAAGAATAGTCCAAGTAAGGCAGAAGTGGAAAAGAATGGTTAATAAAACAAAAGATTTGGAAGGTATGTTAAACAAACATGAAACAATGTTTTTTTCACATAAGGAGGAATAATATCTGACCCTTTTGTGACCCGGAACTAAATAATGATATTTGCTTACAAGTAATATTATTCGTACACATCATGTGCATGTTCTAGCACGTGTACTATCGACTAAATTACAATAAATCACAGGCACCCATCTGCAATTTAAATATCCGAAACGGAATCCAAACTACCAATTTACTAAACCATCATTAGCTTAAATTGTAAACATAAGAGAAAGCACATCGTTGACGCTAATAGGGAACTAAGTTCGGTGATGAATGGTTGTAAAACAAATACCAGTAGTTAATTAATCGTGAATCTAAAAGTGATATTTATTTAAGAGGAATTAATTTGGAAACTTATAAGTATCAGCTACGTAATGTTTACAGAGATTGCTGACCAAACACTTTTTACAATAGTTTCAATTATAAGTATGATGCGATCTTAACGTGGTTTTGTGTATCGCAATTATAATTAAACCATGTTGCTTTAAAAAAAATTCCCAAGAATTTTTCCCAAACTATAATCCACTATAATAACCAAGTGGATTATAGTTTGGTTGTCTAAACGCGTTTAGAAAAACCCTACAATTCTCCTTCGTAAAACGAAATAGGCCTTCCAAAATTGGTATAGATTAGCCGATTATTTTTTAGGTCAAATGAAGCTTTTAAAAAGCTTTATAAAAAGATAACCTATCAAAAGCAGAGGCAAAGTAAAACCCAGCCAATATTGTTGACTATGTGGATCTACATGAAATTTTCGAGTGAATAAAAGTAAAAACGCTGCAAATTATTTAACAATAGTTTATTATTTCCAAACAATCATACATCAAAAGCTGCATTACCTTCCTAGTGACAAACAAAACGAAATAAAAAGTTATTCCAATTATTGGACAAAACATTTTTTTTTTTAATCATTAGTAATACGTTAAAAAAAATAGCGTTACTTCAGTAATACCTTCAAAAATCAAAAACCAAAACAAAGAATATAACCTTTGCATTATAACATTTAAAAAACATTTAGAGACCACATTTTTGCTCCTAATTGTCTTATTTTAACGATATTTTTTGTATTTTAGGAAATTCTAAACTTTTAAATAGCAATACAATACAAAATCAACAAAAAATTGAATACTTTTTGAGTTATTCGGAATGAAATTTTACCATCCCTCGTAACTTTTTTATTAGCTACTTTTCGTTGAAGTGTGTTAAATATATAAATTTAAAGGCCATCGAGAAGAATACTTTAGCGAAGTTTCATTGAAATCGGTACATTCGTTTAGGCGTTACATTCTATAGCAACCCAGGTTTTTCGGTCGCCATCTTGAAAAGAAAAGGCGGATGGAAATGTCGTTAAAGGAGGATCATCCTCAGGTGACCTCTAATTTTTTTTATTTTTTTTTTATTAATGATATTTACAACTGTATTACAAGTAAAAATACATTCAGTAAATGTGAACAAAAGAATATAATAGCATGAAATCACTTGTTGAGAAACTACCCACTGGTAGCACTCTAAAAATGTATTTACAAAAGGAGATCTCGAGGCCATCTTCTTTTCAGACGCCTCGGAGGGTCCAATTTTAAAGCCAAATATGAAAAAAAAAAATCGGTCCAGTAGTTTCGGAGGAAAATCATTAATAATAAAACCTCAAATTTAGAGAGGGAGTTAAGTTTATGAATTTTTTGTTCGATCAAAATGGTTCATTATTGAAAACTATAAACCAGAATCGCTTATTATATGGGTTAAAAATTAAAAAAAATATTATGAGAACTTAATTATATACCTTTAGAATTATATAAATTTAAAATATTTTTTTTATATCATGTCTTGGATACTATAGGATATTTATATTAGTGAAACAGAACTATTAGTACACTGCTTTGCAATAGGGTAGACAGGTAGAGAATGAAGACATTTATATAAAATGCATACCGTAGATTTAAGCTATAAGTATACAGAGGAATTCTCATGAGAAAATTATCAGTTAAAGGGATTTGATTAGGAAGTAATGAGACCATTTTTTCTAAAAAGTAATTTATTGGAGAAGTTGGATATTGAAAACAACCAGCTACAAAACATGATGGAAAATATCATCCTAAATATACTAGAAATCTATACCGACATCTATATTATTTATAGTCTTCAACTAGTCTACTTCACCTAGTCCATTCTGTGGACAGAAAGAGGAAAAAAATCTTAAAATTTGATATTTTTTATAATAGTTCCTTATGTTTACTTTTTTTTTTTTCAATAATATCTATTGGACTGATGATTATATTGAAAAAATTAAAATGAGTATCTGTGAAATTATTATGTAGTCCTCCCCTCCGTGAATTAAAATAATAGCCAAATGAAATAACTTCTAATAAACGTAAAAATAATTACTAACCGAACCTTTATTGAAAAATTTTCTGAGAACGATATAATTGGTAGTATAAGAAGAGAATTCGTGTTTTATTTATAGAATCATATTGAAATTGATACCACATAGTTAGCCTAGAAATAAATTCGGAATTTTTTTTCACGCTACTCATAAAATGATGTATCTGGGACGATGTCGTTCCACTAGGAGATTTCTCTAAAATAAAAACAAAATTGATCAAAAGTAAGATGTCGAAATCTTAGGAATTTTCAAAGTAACATTTCGTCACCCACACAAAAGTAAATGATTTTAATCAATGATTCTATACATATTTTCGTGGAGCGTTGAATAGTAAATAGAAAAAAAATAATATTCATAAAAAAATATCATAATTTTCCGTCAACAAGTGTGTTATAAGTGACAATGATAATTATAATAATAACAACAATTATTTATAAAATATAAATTATTTGTAATAGTTGACTAAATTTGGTCCATAACTATTACAAATTACCGTGTCATATGTGAACCAAATAAAGAAATAACAACAATAATAACATTAGTGACACGTTTATTAGATTCCAATTCTTTAGTAGATTTGAATGTGAAGAAACCTTCACTCTTAATTGAAATATTCATAAAACGACAAGAAAAATTTCTCAGCGTTTATTTACAAATATATATACCTACATAGGTACATAGGTACATGAACTTTGAATTCCTCATAAATCTGTACCCCGAAATTAAAGGATACCATGTCCATTTTTGTATTTGTTCAGAGGAGCCAATTTGAAATATTAATATTTGTTTCATTATTACTAAATCTGTACGCGTGACCCAAAGGACATCATGTCACATTTTTGTATTTGTTCAGAGAGCCAAGTTTTCGTAACATTGAGCTATTAAAATTCGTTAGTTTCTAAATTATTACATATAAAAATGGACATTTAAATCAAACAAAATTAAAATTTATGAATTACCTTTTTTTTTAATTGTGTCCTTTACCTCCGGAGGTCAAAAATAAGCTTATCTAACCAAAACCCTAACCCTAACCAAAACCCTAACCCTAACCAGAACTATTGGAAAATAAGGTTTTCCTCAATCCAACCATTTCACATCAATAATACTAAATCCTTATTTTTTTCTATTTATTTAACAGTAAAATTATAATATTCCGAATTTCATGTTGTTAATTTAACAAAATATGTTTATTTAAAAAATAAAATAAAATATCCAATTAATTTTTAGAATTTTATGCAAGCATTCTTTGTGAATTAACCTTTTAGAGAATACTATGCTAGTAATAGACTAAATTTATAATTATGTAAACAAAATTATAATTAAAAAAACATATTGTGTGTAGTGTTGCCCAAAATCGGTCTTGGTCTTGCACTTGCACCAAGACCAAGAGGGCCTTACTGTTGCAAGATCAAGACCAAGACTGGTAAAAAAAATTGCTTTTTTAAATGAAAATAAAAGGAAAAATAGTTACTAATACTTGACAATTTTAGTTACTATATGTAAAGAATTGGTATAACCAACATACTTTTGCATTTAGCTCTTCTAATTTTTCATTCGTGCTTAATTAGGTTTCTCCAATCTAAAACAATAAAAGTAATGCCACTACAGAAATCAGTCAATAGGTAACTGCGAGACTATTGGGCAAGACGAAGACCAAGAACAAGACTGAGTGTGCAAGACCAAGACTCGTCTTGGTCTTGCATTTGGGCAACATTAGTTGTGTGATTCTGCTACTATGTAGTATTATTTATAAAAACGCTTTAGGAAAATAAAGCTAAATAATTTGGAGGAATGGTACATAATTGCTTTTTCTTGCCTTAAATATTCCACGAGGATGCAAATACAAAAAGTGAGAAGTGAAGTGCTCTTTATATGGGAAATAAGATCTTTATACTAAATCAATACTCTTTCTCTTTCAGAGAAATTTGATCCTTCGACTGGGAATAAACTGATATATATGTTTTCCCTTGGACAAACGAGCATCATACTGTGAATGTGCCATTTAGTTAGTTGATGTTCCTATTCGGGTCTAGCTTTAAATGGAAAACAAACAGTAGAAACTAGTTACATTAGCTATCAATTTGATTCAGCCAAAGCTTTCCCTAACTATCCAAAAACGGCACGGCAAATAAATAATTGTCACTTAAAAATAAAGATAAATGCAATGCAAAGTTGTACCAATAAATCTACTTGAACATGCTATCGAAAAGGAATACGTTTGTGAATCTCAATGAAAAGGGCTCCTTTCAGCCAATTGGATTGTAGAGGTGGTTCCGTTACCTCCTTTACTCAAATGTTACTTTTACCTGTTTTCTCACAAACGTTTAAGAGAAGATACGTCGGATTTTCTGAAAATGTAATTTTCATTTAGTTTCATAAAAGTATTCTTTCTTCATAAAAAGTAATAAAAATCTTTTTACGAATAATTTAGTATAAAACCTGTACCACTACAACCAATGATGGGTCTTGGGTCCAGTACTATTTAGGAAAAGTACTATTTCTGAGTAAACGGTTGTGTAAGCAGATGATTTAACTGAGATAAAGCTCAACAGCCAGGTTTTCCCACTTAATTAATTAATTAAGGGTATCCAATTTATAGAGGCTGGATGTGCACCAGAGGGTCCCCTGGTCCCAGAGTCACCCTCACAGCTGATGAAACAGAATAAATATTTTTTCTGCCATGAACCGGGATTCGAACCCAGGACTTTGA